TACGCGGGCCTCTCACTGCTGTGGCCTCTCCCGCTGCGGAGCACAGGCTCCGGACACACAGGCTTAGCGGCCATGGCTCACGGGTGCAGCGCTCCGCGGCATGTGGGATCCTCCCAGACCGGGACACGAACCCACGTCCCCCGCATCGGCAGGAGGACTCTCAACCGCTGCGCCACCAGGGAAGCCCGAAAGGTGGCGTTTTCTACAGGTCAAGTCTTTGAAACGTAGTAATGACTAGAATTTTGATTTTTAAATTTATAAAATGTGTAACTTGACAGCTGCAGATAAAAGTGTAATGAATTGGGACATATTTAATTTATACATTAAAAAACTTTACTGTCCTGCTGGCTTATCCAAGTACTCAAGAATTGCTAACAATTCATAAGTTGTTTAAAGGCAGCTGAGCCACGCCCTTCCAGATCAGCCAAATGTCATTCAGTGCTGACTTATTCACCAAGCAACCTGTTAATCACTTCTGGTGCCCTCCTTCTCCCTGTAAAAGAGGGAGGAGGACTAGACTCCACACAGGGGAATCCCATTCCAATCCAGCAAAATGTCCGCTCTTGGGAAACTTTCTATCAGGCCCTTCCCAATCCAACCAACCATAATAGCAAACTGCTGGGCCAAGACGTCACTGCTGGTCCCAAATGACTGCCGGTGTCCCGTCACCACGCTGGTCACCAGGACTCGCCGAGACAAGCCTGGCAGAGACGGAGATGGGCAGACAGTGTCACTCGAGGTCTGGGGAGAGGGACTGTGGACAGGGGTTTCGGGTCTGTGAAATCCTTTACCCTGGGCACCTGGGGAGGCAGCCGTAGCTCACCTGTACTAAAGCAGTTATTTGCCTGGATGTTCAGGGACCATGCACAGGACCAGGCCCCGGGGATCCGGAAACTGCAGAGCATGCCAGGCCGGTCTCCTGCTGAGGGGACAGTAGTAGTGTTAGAAAGACTAACAGCTATCAGGGAGGCAGTATGGTGTCACATAGGAGGGTTTCAATTCCAGCTATGTGATCTCAAACTTTTTTCAAAAATAATTTCTTTAAATTGATAAAACATACATTAGGGGTACAAATCATAGTATACACTTTAACGTATACTATGTGAAGTATAGCTATGTAACCACTACCCAGGTTAAGAAATAGAACATTCTAGTACCCTGGTACCCTTCCTGTCCCCTCCCAATTACTACCCTCCTCACTCCTCCCTAAAGGGAACCACTATCCTGACTTCTCACACCATCTTTTGGTTTTGTAAGGGAAATTCCAAACTTCTTTTTGCCTCAGTCTCCTCATCTGTAAAATGGTGATAAATATATACTCCCACCTCATAAGCTTGCTGTATGGTGAAATGCCAGGCACCAGGCTAAGTGCGCGTTAAATCATTTAATCCTCCATGTAACCTGAGGGGGCAGGTATTTACTTTAGAGAGCTTAAGCGATCTGCTCAAACTGGTAAGGGGCACAGCTGGAATTCATGTCAGGTCTGCCTGAAGCCTGCACTCTTAGAGGCCTGATCCTTGTCTAATTGATCCTAATTCTCTGAAAGACTGAAAACTTAATATCCAGAACGGTGCCAGGCAGTTGGACTGCCTTCAGCCAGACAGAATGTAAGTATCCCTGACAGAACCTGCCATACAGTAGGAGCTTAACAGATGCTCTCTGGGAAATCTATATAGGCAGCCCCAATAAATATTTTCATGTCTTGTACGGGTTACACACACCTTTAACTGTTCCAGCTGCTGAAATGACCCAAAAGGAGGGGATAAGTGAAGATGCACATGCTTCTAGTACAAATCCTGGGTCAAGTTTAAGAAATCCTCCCAGGTGCTCTGCAGACTGTCCCCACCCTGCGAGCTCCGACTTGGGCTCACCAGCCCATGGTTCCCACCCCTCCTGTCCAAGCCATCACTACGGAGCTTATGCTGCTGTTGGCTGCAGCTCCTGGGAGGCGGAGGACAAAGATGTTCCTTAGCACCTCCTCAACCAAAGGAAAAGGACCCCTTGTACCTGGATGACTACTGACAAACAATGACGCTGGGAGCAGGGTGGCACAGCCTGGAGTCTCTGCAATTCCCATGAGGCACAGCCTGGAAAAGCCGTTAAGGACAGCCAAGTACAAGTCTCCTCTGGGAGGAGAATGGGCATCAGTACCCTTCGAAAAAGGTATAATAATACCCATCATCCACATTTAACATGTTTACATTTTCCATATTTAGTTTCACATTTTTTAAAAGGAAGAAAATGTCACAGATACAGTTAAAGGCCCCCTTTTAACTTTCCTCCACCCAGAGAGAATCGCTATTCTAAAACTGGTCTGAGTTCTAGGCCTTAATATTTCCACTACACAACATTTGTCCATCAACAATATAAAGAACACATTTATGTGTCTGATTTTAAAACGCACGTAAATGGCATCACACAGAATCTTCTACAACAGCTCAGTCTGCATTGTCTCCTAGATGCAACTGTATTCATATTTGTAACTCCAGTTCATCTGTTTTCACCGCAGAGCATTCCTTTGTATGAACAGACCACAATTTATTTATCCAGTCTCCTGCTGATGGGCACTGAGATGGTTTTCGCTTTTTTTTCCCCCTCTGCTGCTGAAATGAGCCTCTCTTCCTATTCTCCTGTCTCCCACTCCCATGTATGGGAGGCTTCTCTAAGACAGTTTCTTACAACTGTGGTTAAGAATTTCATTTTTCACCAGTGTGCTATATACACACAAACATTTGAAACAAAAGTTTCATAAAATATTTACACTTACTAAATATGAAAGTGATTTTTTCTAACCTACTTCATTAAAAAAAAAAAAAGCTGCTCAATAAGTTGATTTCCTGGGCCACAGTTTATAGGATAGGTCATGACTCACAGTTTGAAAACACTGCTATACCTAGAGTGGAACTGGGGGGTTGTAAAGGACACGCATCTCCAACTTGAAGTGGCTGTATCGTTTACTTATACCAGCATTTCCCCCCATTCTCCACCTAGGCCAAAACTTGGCACTATCAGAGCTTAAAAATCGTGTTTATCTGAATGGGCATAAAATATCTCCTTTTACTTTGCATTTCTCTGAACTACATCTGATTATAGTTGCGTTTCCCTTACTGTGAACTGCCTCTTTATATCCTTTGCCTGCTTTTCTATCGGACTGTCTTCTGATTGTTTCCTTTCCCTTTCCTTTCAGAGCTTCAAGAGGAGCCTGTGTTTATCCCCACTTCCTCGCCTTTCTTTTACTCTTCAACCCACTGAAATCCAGGTCAGACCCTCACCTTTCCAGTGAAATTTCTCCCCAAGATCTCCAGTGAGCTCCTAATACTAAATCTGATGAAGGATTTCCAGTCCTGCCCCGGGCCATGCAGCACAATTTCTACCTATACACTCCTTCTTGGCCTCCACAACCACTCTCCTGGCGTTCCATCCTTGGACCTTCTCCCATCACCAAGATTCCCTGGCCTAGGTCCTAAGCCTCTTAAACTCGTGTCTCTTCTCTATTCCTGCTCATCAGTTCACAGCCTCTTCACCACCGTCTTTAGTCTTGTAACAGCCTTCCATCCGAGGTCTCACCCTCACCAGCCTACCACCTTCACTGCTATATGAGAAATGAATCCATGACTACAGTCTTCCAGGGGCATCCCACAGCCCCAAGGATTTGGTTTTGCAAGGCGCTACCTAGCCAGAGACGTCACCGATACCAAACCACTTATTGCTGCCAAATGTGCCAAGCTTTCTTCTCACTCTTCTAATGGGAGCTCCGTGCCCTCCTTCCCATGTGGGAACCACCTCCAGGAAGGCCACCCCAATCCCTGCACCCTACAATTCCCCATTGACATCACTGCAAAGACTGACCACCTGCTGAAGTGCCCAGCTCCAGCACCTTGCACAGGGATTCTAGATGCCCAATAGATGCTGGTGGAATCAACACACACACCTCACTGAAAAATGTACATCTTTGCCAAGCAATCAGGCAACGATCTTGACCATCTGAATGTGTGATGTGTGGGTATCGTGTTGCCTTGGGTGGTAAGCCCCATGTTAAATATCTCTAGTACAGAGGCTGCTGAAGCTATAAATGAGAACACTGTATCTGGGCAGCTCAATTCCTTCTGAGATAAATCTCTTTTCCTTCTACATTTGTAGGGCAAGGATGTGGGGAGAAAGTCCTTACCCATGTGCACTTACCCATGTTACTGTGGCTGAAACCCAGGTTACACTCAACCTTTGCATGGCACTTACAGGGCCAGTATCATAGAGCTAATCCTTTAAAAGGCCACAGGTCAGTGAAGAACCTGCTAAGTGTAGAAAAAGTTCAGTCTAACCTCCCACCACTCTTTGGGGAAAAGCACAGAGTGCAGGTCTGAACCATGTGTCATTTTTGTAAAGGAAGAAAGTTTAAGACCTTCAGCAGAAGAAGCAGGTGCACAAAAGCCTGAAGATTACCTGAAATGACCACCAGAGGGCAAGCCGCTGATCAAACCACAATAGACCACACTCGTTTCTTTTACTGTGCTTTCCTTTGCTGCCCTTCGCAGATAGTGTTGTTGTTTTTTTTCTTCAAATTGAAGATTTGTGGCAACTTGGTGTTGAACAAGTCCACTGGTGCTATTTTCCCAGTGGCATTTGCTCATTTTGTGTCTTTGTGTCACATTTTGGTAATTCTCACAATATTTCAAACTTTTTCATTACTATTTTGTTAATGGTGATCTGTGATCAGTGATCTTTGATGTTACTGTTGCAAAAAGATTATGACTTGTTGAAGGCTCAGATGATTAGCATTTTTTAGCAACAAAATATTTTTAAGTTAAGGTATGTACAATGTTTTTCAAACACGATGCTACTGCACACTTAACAGACTACAGTATAGTGTAAACGTAACTCTTATATCTGTATCTGTCTATCTCTGAGGTATGCCTATATATGGATTTTTTTTTCTTTTTTTTTGCGGCACGCAGGTCTCTCACTGTTGTGGCCTCTCCCGTTGCGGAGCACAGGCTCCGGACAGGCAGGCTCAGCGGCCATGGCTCACGGGCGCAGCCGCTCCGCAGCATGTGGGATCTTCCCGGGCCGGGGCACGAACCCGTGTCCCCTGCATCAGCAGGCGGACTCTCAACCGCTGCACCACCAGGGAAGCCCCTATATATGGATTTTTATCCTCACTAAGAGAAGCATGGATAAACGCCATACTGTCTGAAGATCACAAATGAGAGTGAGGTTCTTGTTTTCTCTCTTTTAAGGCTTGATCTCTTCTGCCCTCTGGTAAGATCAAGACAGTAACAGGTGGTCCCGTCACCCCACAAACCCCACCAAATGAAAGCCACAGAAAACTTTCAATTTACAGAACACACAGTTTTGTGTTTGTCTTACATAAAAGTTATGATCAGATCTCTAACGTGCTTTAGGCTTTAAAACCCTTTGAGGGACTTCCCTGATGGTCCAGTGCTTAAGACTCTGTGCTCTCAATGCAGGGGACCTGGGTTCGATCCCTGGTCAGGGAACTAGATCCCACATGCAGCAACTAAGAGCCCACATGCCGCAACTTAAAAAAAAAAAAAGAAAGAAAAAAAGGATCCCACGTACAGCAACCAAGACCCAGTGCAGCCAAATAAATAAAATAACAAACAAACAAACCACCCCCCCCCCAAACAAAAAAAACCCCAAACCAATAGATTCCAATTCAGGCATCATTTGTTGAGGACCCATGACATGGCCAAGCACTGTGCTAAGTGTATTCACAGATGTTAACTAGTTAACCTTATGACAACTCTGAAGTTGGCGTTAGGCATGACAAGTGGTCACATAGTTTCATTTATGTGAGCGAACTCGTTTATTATGGAAATGAACCACAACAAGACTCATTAACATGTGGCTTTGGCTTTGGGTCAAACAGTATCACTCCATGAAGGACATGATGGACAGCTGTCCTCTGCATCATCAAGAGACCCCAGGGATCCCAGTTACCCTGACACTGTTCTGTGTGCTCCTACAAAGCCCAGATGGCTCTCTGGGTAGGGAAGGAAGAGACTAGAATGAAGAGTGCTCTAGAGAAGGCCATCTCTGGGCAGGGAACCTAGGCCCAGAGCCCACAGCCCCAGTCTGATGTCAAAGGAACACCATTCTCTGGTGTGTGCCCTCAGCCTCCCTGCCTTGGGAGGCTCCTCCTCCTCTGCCTCAGGAGGATTTGGGGTTCCTTTTCAAGGCTTTACTGTTCCTTTCTGCTTTGTTCCTCTGCTAAAGCACCAACTCTCAAGTTCCAGAACAGTGTCTGGCACCTGGTAACACTGACATCATTCTAGGACCTCAGCTGCTTCTCTGTGCTCCATGGGAATTCTTGTTTTCTAGCGGGTGCATTGCTATTTCCTACAAGGTGAGACATTCGTGCAGAATGGCCTAGACCTCTGGACACTAAAACACCATCTCACAAACCCCACAGATGCCCTGGTCTACATCAGGGCATGGCTGGCCCACCAAACCTTTTCACCTGCCAAAAGATACAGAATGTGGGAATCCAGGTGATTCAGCGAGGCCCAGCTCACAGCGTTCACCTGGTGAGGAAACACACAGCCAGATGGACAGATTGGTTTGATGCCAACTTATGGAGAGAAACAGACAAATACTTTCTTATAGAACAGACATGTGACTGACTGCTTTCTTCAGGTCTCACTCCTTGAATAGGGGCTGGAACGAGTATTCTGAGAACAAGGAAGCTCCCTGCCCCACCGTGCAGAACCTTGAGGGGAACGGGAAGAAGTAACCCCCAGGCCTCAGTCCTTCATCATCAGCATAGCATGGGCATCACAATGAGCCATCTGGTATACCCTCTGGTATAGGCCAGGGATGAATTCTCTGCAACGGATCTCACTTCACCCAGAAACCATTTTCAACCTGTGTCTCAACAGAACAGAAAATCACAGCTTCTTACAGATGCAGCCATCACCCACTGACTGCAATGTTAAAAGTTGCCCGCCAGACAGCAAGCTCCTTACATTTACATAAATTTCAGTGCTGGCTACAACTGACTGGAAGATTGACATAATGTTCTGATACACTGGGAGGACCCTCCACCCAGCCCCTCTGTGGTCCACCTCCCAGGAACTCTGTGCTTTAGCATGGGCTCCTTTGGATCAACTTAACCCTCCTGGAGGGAAGTCCCTGCAACAGGTTAATTAAAGCAACACTGCTTCAAGTCCTCCCCCATGTAAATTCATTTCTCTTCCAAGACGAGAAACTAATGAGGCCCTTTTCTTCCCCTATGAGTTCTCAGGATCTAAAACTCCATTTTCTCCCTTGAGAAAATGAGGTAACCGAGCCCTGCCTTCTTCACAAAGCTCTCTCCTCTACTCTGAATTTGGCCAATTACCGCAGTGCCCTGGATCCAATGGCAGAGCAGGCTGCCATGGCTGAAGGGAAGGGCAGCGTACCTTCCGGTTGGTGAAATAGAGGTTTTCATGCATGTGCACCCTGAGCGTGGGGGTCTTCAGGCCACGCAGGTTGATGATGCCGTACTTGGAGCCCCCGACTTTGACATCGTTCACGGTGAAGAGCCGGTCACTGTTGGTATCCGCCTGGAGAAGGGAGGCGGACTGTGGGTGGCCTCCCAGGCTGAGCCACGTGGTCTGCCGAAAGACCGTCTACCTAGCTCCCACGCTCTGTGTGTTTTCACCAGGTGAGGGTTCTCGCCCATGAGGAAGTGCGGAATGACCTGACTTGCCCCTACTTGGTGTAGCCATCACTGGGCAAAGCTGACAGGCATCTGGTCTCACAGTTCAGGAGCAAAAAAGGCAGTGAGGGGGCAGAGCCAGTCTGCACAGTGACCCCTCTCAGAACTGGGCTTGGGAGAGTCCCAACGTCCACCCAGAGGAGTTTAGATGAGCCACATGGTGACAGAGCATGTGGCCATCATGAAAGCTACACAGAAATGTGGAAAATGCTAATTATAACTGCCAAGGGATAAAAGAAGAAAGGAAAATTGTATTCCTATTACATAGGCACTGTGATTATCACCAAGTAAAAAGAAAGGCATCGCATGGGCAAAAAAATTACAATAGAAAAGATGGCAATGGGATGTGGGTTATTTTTAAGATTTTCTGTTTTCATTTAAAAAATGTGGTTAATAATTATTTCAAAGCAAAACCTTTATATGTCTGTGTGTTTTTAAAATATATTTATAAATATAACATACACAAATACATATGGGTTTGGGTGCTGGTGAAAACACACTTACTTTGCAAGTTTACTTGGCAACAATAGTTATATTCCTGAAGAATCATTACCAGTGACTAGAGTCAGATCTGAAAACTCTGATCCCTGGGTGACAAACTGTGCTTCCCACCCCTCTGGGTCACACCAGCCATCCAGTCATCGTAACTCTGGATCATGGGGAGGGTCTTCCAAACACCAGCACACAAAGTATGAAGACCAGGTGCTCAGGCCATGCTAAGCAGCAGGTGCAGAGTGATCTCCACTGTCCCCACCCGGTTTACTGAAGAACCCCAGGGAAGGCGCTCCTGAGGGGAACCCACCACAAGAAAGTATTCTACTTGATTCAGGTCAAACTGTTCCCCAAACACAGGAGAAAACATGAGTCCTGGCCCATGACACTCCTTACGTGAAGGGCTCTGTTGTAGAGGTCCTGGGGCAGGACCTCAAGGGTAAATTCCGTAGCCTCAGCGTCCAGTCCTGTCAGTAGACCACCAGGCTGAGGCTCTCTATTTTGTGTCCTTCTCTCACTCTCCTTGGCTGTCCCTCAGCCTCCAGGAACTGCCAGTCCAGCTGAGAGGTCTGGCTACTTCTGTTTGCAGTGGACCCTCTGATCCTCTGCCAACATTTCTCTGCCCCCTGGCTTCCAGTCCGGGTCTAAACCAGAGGCAGAGAGATCATTTTCTGCTCCCCGCAAATGATGCAGTGGAGGTGTACTGGATGTGCAGGCCCAGAGACATGGCCTGCAGGCCCCCGTTACTGAGGTCAGGGACAGAAAGCAAGAAACTAATACGCTGTTGCTACTGAAGGACGCTGGTGCTTCAGGTTTGGCTACCAAATCCTGTCCAGTATGGAAAGGATCAGAAGCCCCTGGTCCGCCATGTAACTTTTCAACTGTGTACACAACATACCCATGGGAAAGTTACTTCGTGATGGTTCTCTGTCAGCGTGTGTGGACCCCGGCTCTAATGTCAAATGACAGAGCTGTAGTGGGGGTGACAATGGTCACAGCACAGCCTGTCTTGCCAGCTTGGCATCTGCCAATGGGTAGCTGGTAGGTGCTTGTTAAAACCATAAAACCTGCTTTCATGGCTAGTGGCTTCTACACAGCCAGGCTTGATGAAAACAAATGCAAAGCCACAAATTGTCCAGGGGATGGCAACTATGTCTCTGGAACCTACAGATGGCTCCCTCCCACTCACCAGTATCAGGTTAAATCGGTCACTTGCCAAAGCGGAGGGATCCGAGCTCTGAATTTGGACCTTCTTCCTCTGCATGCAGCTCACTCGCAGCTCATTGGCTAAACTGCAGAGGAGAAAGAGGGGAGCAGGGGAGGTATGGACATCATACCTAGATATCCAAGAAGATGCAGGGGTTCTGCTCTGTCCCACACCCTGAAGACCACCTTCTCTTGTCAGCTCTCTCTCCATATTAAATCTCAGCAATGGAGCTGAGCAAGGCCCCAAAAAATCTCAATTTTAGAACTCTTGGGAAAACTAAAGCAAAGAAATGGGTGGCTCATTCACAGTGTCAAAGAAAGTCAGAACTAGAAGGACTTATATTGGATCATCTAGCGCAACTCATTCTCTTGAGATGAAGAGAATGTGCCTGAGAAATGAAACAACCTGCTGAAGGGCACACAGTTCATGAAGAACCAGGCATGCAGCTGCCCATCCGGTTACCCCTTTTCCTCTCCACCAAAGACCGAGCATGTTTTAGGGTGAAGAACAGATCTTTCTAACTAGACCTTTAACTCTTTTCCCTCTCAGAAAGAGAGAAACACAGGACAAGCACACCCCTACCTGCCCTGGCTGACACTGCCTGCAGGGCTGGCCTTCCCTGAGGGGGCCTCCCTGGGTAAACCACCCACACCCATGTTGTTTCTTCACTGGCCCAGGTAGAGTGGGAGGCAGCAGAATGCAGGGGTTAGGAGCTCAGGCTGGGGAGTCAGACAGATCCCCCCGCTTCCTAGCTTTACCTTGAGCAAATCATTCCACTCTGAGTCTCAGTCTCTTCTTCTGCAACCTGGGGAAAGTGTCAACCTATCTCACAGGGCTTTAGTTAGAACTGTATCAGACATCACCAGTATTTAAAGTTTAGTACACATCCATTTAACGTTCCCTTTTTGGTGACAACTCATTAGAAGGAGAAAAAGAGGCAGAACCCTGATGGGATGAAGCTAAAGGACCTTCTACTTAACTAGAAATGATTTACAAGTAACAAAGAGGAGTCACCTTGAGAAATTTCTGCCCAATTTCTCTGCCTAGATCCCCTCTCCTCTCTCCCTGGCTCTAAAGGAAGGATGATTCTCTCAGGGCTGATTTCAGCAGCAGAAGCAGGCTGTTGAGCTGAAGGTCCTCAACTGTGAACACTCCTCACGGAGCAGCTACATGCTCTATCCTGACAATTCTTGGATCATGGAAATAAGAAAGAGGAAAAGAACATTCATGAAGAAAACATAACGAAGAGGCATTATCTTACCGGCAGTAACTGGTGACGTTGAGAAAACCCAGCTTGCTTTTTTGTAGTAAGGAAGATGCATTAAATCCCAACCTGGCTGTTTTCTAAAAGAGAGAAAGATTCAGTGAAGTTTTATGTTATTGTATAATGAATTATGTTTTCAGGATTCTAGTCTCCTCTCCTTGGAAAGAGGAAAAACCTATCACAAGGAAGTATGTGTGAGATGGGAAGTCTGCTCAGCACCTCTCCAAGTCCCCCATCAATTTATACCTGAGGAGATGAGGCCACTGAGCTAGTGAGTGCAGGAATGGCACTGGACACTCAGGTCTGCAACACGCTTTCCATTCGACCTACGGTTACTGTGGGGCCCAGACTTTCCATTCCATTGTCCCCATGATCACGGAAATGTCCTGGCATCTCATCTCCAGAAGGGGTACCAGAAACCCTCGTATCCAAACCATACACGCTGGTTTTCTATTTAAAACACACAGTTACAGAGGCTATATTGGGCTGCTACCCAACAGTCTCCTGGGGAAGGACAGAATGTAAGAATTCCTGATGAAACCCAGCAAATAAGAAAAGCGGGGGGTGGTGGGAGGAGATTTCTAGCCTGTTCTTATTCTCTTCATCAGGTTCCTGTCAGGGAAAATTCGACGCCACCCTCCTAAAGTGCGCTATGCTGAGGGTTACAGGGGCGTTTAATTGGCACCTCCCTGTGGCAGTGGGTGGATGCTGGCAGGAGTGGAGGGGACAGGGCAGCTCCTGGGGCTGTGGAGCCTACCTTTCCCTGCTTGTCCTCTTCCTCTAGCAGCTGCAGCCTTTTGCTCTCCATTTCCTTCTGCCGGATGCTCTCCTTCGTGAGGGGGTTGCAGTTGTTATGTCCAGGGAGCAAGCGGAAGTAGCGTTTCTTTTCAGGGTCAAAGTAATAACCTGGTAGATCTTTAGTCGAAAGAAATAAAATCCAACTTAAAACGCTGTGAACCGAGCCACCCAGCGAGAAGCCCAGGGGCCTGCCTACCACCCCTCACAGCTGCCGATCTTTCCTGAGGGGCAGGAGGTGGGCTAGCACTGCCAGTCACCATCCCGGGCCCAGTTCAGTCCTGTGGGGAGCTGTCTGCCTCAGGATCACGGTTCTTGTTTCAATTTGTTCCCAGAATTTCCTCCAAGCCAGGAATGGGCTGATGACACACATGGAGTGTACCCACACACAAGTGAAGACACAAAGGACTGAGGAGAAGGGCAGCCAGAACAGACATAACTAGATGATGAGGCACAACTAGGTTTCATCTTTCCCCACAGGCAGGGCCGGAGGAGCCCTGTCCAGCAGGCTGCCTTACCTAGCACAGAAGAACTGCCAGCTGTGCTGGAGGAGGTCGACGGGGCCTCATCATCGCTGTGGCTGGAACCCTGTGGGCTTTGCTGTACCCTTGTATTATTCCTGTTGACACACAGTCAGGGTTAACTTGCAGCCAATGACCCCAGTCACTCTTTGACTCTGGGGTCCTGCAGTTCCACAGCCTTCACCCTAACCCTCGATTACTTGGGGAGCACTGACCCCTCTTTTTCTTGGAAGCAGTTTACCTACTGCAAATACACCGAAGTTAGGGCACGGTTTTTGGTTTCTCATCCTTAAGAGGATGCACGTCACAGCAGTTCCTCTTTTGTATCTCCTCATTTGAGTATTTTGTGAGGTCTTTTGGAATTTTCCAGATGAAAATGAGAACAGAAATTTTGGCCAATAAGAATTTTAACAGCTGGGCTCATTTGTCAGCTCAACAGCAGTTACAAGGCCAGGTGAATTTCATTTTTTATTGGATTCAGCAGTACAAAAGTTTAAATTTTACTTGGTTACTCAACCCTGAAGATGGAGAAACTGGGGTTCAGGGCACAGAGGTGATTTGCTCAGCAATACTGGGATAGAGCCATGGTTTAAATACTCATTTTGCAAAGCTACAAGCAGCTTCTGTGGCAATTATAGGCTGAAAGATATAGTGAAAGAACAAAAGACCTAATTTTAGAATTCTGGTAAAATCCACTTTAAAATTAAGAACTTCCCCTGCCCCCTATAACACCAAAAGGAATACAAACTGCAAAACTAGGTTAAAGGAATCAAAGAACTCTCTCTTTTGTCTATAAATACTAACTATGCAGTTTCAGAGAAAATTATTTATTCTCCCTTTTAACGGCCCAGAGCTTCGTGAGGAAGCTCACGTGTGATCAGCAGCAAGCGGAGGAAAGGTTAAGTGTTATAACAAAGGTCTACATCTCTAGCCCAAGGACCGCTGCCCCATCCTTTCCACAGGGAGCCCAGAAGGTGGCTGTCCAGCTGGCTTCCACGCGACTCTGCCAAGCTGAATCAAGACTCTCTCCCTGCACAGATCACAGTTTGCTGCACGACGCGCTCTTGAGGGAAGGCCTGGGGCCCAAAGAGTATCCGTGGTTCTCCTCATAAAACATACAAACATTGAGTACCTGTCCTGATCTTTCTACAGTATGGGTCATGTTGGGGACTTTGGTTCAGAGTCCCTATTATTCTGCACCAAATGAGGTCCACCATATACACAGGGCCTACTCAGAGACAGACAGCCTGATGGGGCTTTACATACATTATTACAAACCTCACAAGAGAAGTATGGTACAAGAAGAGTGACTCAGGGTGATTAAATAGCTTGACCAATTTCACACAGGAAAAAGTAGAGCGTCAAACCCAGACTTCCTAATTCCAAAGCCCTTGTTTCTTCCACAACATTCTGATGCTTTTCTTTTTTTTCTGTTTGAGTTAATCTGTTCTAGAGAAGCATACTGGCATTCGACATCTTCTGACCCTATAGCTAGAAATCTGTCCATTTTAAAAGGAGATCTGGAGTGTGAAAGACTTTTGAAATTGGCATACGGGTCTCCTTTGGTGAAGAGAGGGCTGTGCAAAGACTTCCTATGGCCAGAAGTCACGTCAGCAGCCCTGAACTGTGAAGAGGTATCCTCTCCTGGGATGGGGTGGGGTGAATCATGTTCTGAGATTAGACTGTATTTCATTTATGCAGAAAAGTAAGTAGAGTGTGGAAAATATTTATTATGGGGATTTCACCTAAGTATACACTGTTTTATTTTTCAAGCTGGGTAGTAGGTACCTAATATTCATTGTATTATTCTTTATACCTTTTGTGTTTATTAAATACTATATCGTATTATATATTATATAGTCTTACTTAGGATTTAGGCTGAATTAATGAAATTAGGTTTCCAGAAAGCTACTTTCATAGGCTGAAAAAAAAGAAGAAAGACTAAAAACTGGAGAAAGAGCTCCCCAGTTGTATCAGATAATGTTTACTTCTAAGCCTGTGGCTAAGGCTCCAGCCAGAAGTCACGGTCACACTGAAAAGCAAGACAAGTGTGGCCACCTCCTCACTACTCAAAGTGTGGCAGGCAGGCTGGCCCCCAGCAGACACTCCCTTGGGAGCATGTGAGAAGCACAGACTCTAGTCGGCCCGACCTCAGAGCCTGCATTTTGCTGAGACCTCCAGGGAGTCATGTGCGTGTGAGGGTGCTGTCAACGTTAGTAAGACACTGGGCAACAGCACTTGCCTCTCATTAGAACCATGCTGTCTGAACCAAGGGTTGTGTCGGTGGCTCCTTCTTCCATGTCTTCTACTCTGCCCCCTGCTTTTCTGCATTTCAGCTGCTAAAAGAGAAAAAGAAAGAAAATTACATACAAATGCACGTGTGCACACCTCTTCTGTTTGCTTCTTGATAGTTCCTTCATGCTCAGAACTAGGCAAAAGGATGGCCCAACCTAGGTTATCATTAAAGCCGCCACCAAGCCTTACCTGTAGGACTGCCACCAGGTGGACACACAAATAAAACCCAACGCGTCTGTAGCCATCTCTCTGGCTGCAGTCCTCTTACCTCACAGCTGATACCTGGCCCGACAACCTGCCAACCTCCATTCCCCAGGTCACTGTGTGACGTGTTGACAGACTCTCACAATTACTTTCCGACAACAGTTTGAGCCTGGCAATGAGAACCCTCCTAAGCTAGTCTTCTTTTCCTTACCAGATTAACTCCAGAGCATATAATTTTTCTTTCGATCCACACACATTCCTATTCATAGAGAATAGTTAATTGTGAACACTATCTCTTCCTCGGTTTCAGTATCAAGCAGGAAAAATTGTGAACAAATTAAATGGGGCAGTGGCATGTGACTTCTCAATGTGCTTTAGAGAGTGTTTTAGTTTCCTGAAGTACACTAGCTGTTAAGGGGAAGGATGTGCACATGCATTTGTTGAAATAAGGAATGTTCTCTTAAAGACACTGATGTTGCCATAACTATTTTGAGTGGCTTTTTCAAGTCTTATCTTGTATGGCCTGAATTTATCACTTAATCGTCAAATCATCAGAAGTTTTAACAATGGGAATCACATTAGGAATTCTTAAAGAGACTGAACTGTAGTACACAGACCAGCTGCTGCGAGTTTCATGCTTTCCCAACACCTGGTGATCCTCTCCCCACTCAGTGGAGACACTGTGACATCTTACCGAACACACTTTAAAAGTATAATATTCAAATGCCGTTAACAAAATTAGAAAAAAATTTCTAGGGCTGAATGCAACCAAGGAATAGATTAGAAAATCTATTTGCTTTTATTTTCCAACTTCTACTTTTGAGTAGGAAGTGCCTGTTAGCATCAGACAGAGCACCAGAAGTCTGGACCTACATTCCAGAATTCAGTATTTACCCAACGACTTCTATGTCAACCTATGATTGTGAGTTGGGGCTATTGGATACAAAGGAAGAGATATTTAGTGAGTATAGTATTTAACCAAACATTTCATGAATTCTGTAACGAAGTCCTTGATTTGCCTGCTTCAGAGTCAGTGGGAAGCAGACTCCACAACCTGGATTAGTTTAACCAGCCACTCTCTAGTCCTGTGCCAGAATGAATAAGCACTACTAAAGCTCATCAATATAGCCATGCCGACTTGGAGTCATCACAAATGTCCATCCTCTTTCATCCTCTGCTGGGACATTATAAATTGACCTAGTTTTATTTATTCCTAGTCTGATTCACTCCCGACAATCCAGGGTGTCATCTCTCCTAAAATCCCTTCCCACTTCCTCCTAGTCACACTTAGTAGACAGCATAGCTCCCTACCTCACCCAGAAGAGAGATGTTACCAGTACGAATACCCCCAACTTCTTTTTCATCCCCTCCACAAATGCCTGCCTTTACTAATTCTTATCATCTTCCTTTTTGTCTTGGAGAAACAGGTGTCCCTGTGCCTTTTCCAGGCAAACCCATCCCTCCTGGCTGTTGATCTCATTTTTCTCAAACTCTGCAGACATCTGTGTTCATATATGTTTAATCAATCTCCCCCTCTCCTTATCTCAGCTTATAAACACGCTCACGTTTTTCATTTGTATGTGCTCCACTTCCAACCCAAAAGGAACAGAAATGTTCTGGAAGCATGGTCTATATGTACACACTCCACTTCTTTATTTTCCAATCATTCTTCAACTCACTGTAGTCAGGACTCCTCCATCCTCACCGTTCTGCTAAAATGCTCTTGCTGAGGTTAATGATCTCACCTACTTGCCAAAGTTAGTGGTCTCTTTTTAGCCCTTATTCCTACAACACATGACACCACAAAGCTTCACTCTTCCCTAGGTTTCTGGAATATCTTTCTCTTGGTTCTCGTACTTGTCAAGTTCATCCTTCTCTAGTTTCTCTTGGGTCACCCACTCTGTGTTTAACAACGTTCTGTCCTAGATCCTCTTCATTTTATACTTAACACAATCTCACCTGCAAACACCGTTTCATCTCTAACCTAGCATCAAGTTCTTATAAAAAGGCTGCCTCCTGTCTGCTTTCACAGACCATGTTCCAAAGCGAGTTCATGATCTCTCCCTAGTTCCTAGTATGCTCTTTCACCTATCTGTATTTCCTATCTCTGAAATTCTACCACTGCCCCATCCCCATCCAAAAATATAATAATTTTATTCATTTTCCTCAGCAACCACTTTAATGGCTCCTGAATACCACATGCATAGGTTTCCCTTTGGATCAATTATCTTAAGCCTCAGACAAAGAATAAAGTTGTATTTATTAATTAGTTACGTTACAGGTTAAAGGCACTATGCACAGGAAGGGAAATATGTATGGATGGTGATAAGAAAACTGATAAGAAAAATAAGCCATACTGACATAAGATTATCATTATTACCAACCAACTCTACAAAAAAAGATGAAGACTTATTTAGATTGCACATTCCGTACATGATTCCAGTTTGCTTTAGTTATGAAATGATGCATGAATAGTGGAAAAGCATAGGTAACGGCGAGTCAAAGGCAGCAGATCACCCATTAGGAGGCAGGGCCATTGGCCCACTTGCACCACTGTCCTCGGTAGAGCACTGCACTATCAGAAGGACATGGTAAATAATGAAATAAATGGTGAGTGCTGGTTTTGGCCAAAGACAATATTTCTAAACCACCACCTCACACAAGCACAGATGCAGGCACTGCAGTGGGAGAGAAGGGAGTGATGGCTCTGAATGGAAGAGCCAGAGGGGAGAGTGAGTTTGAACCCAGTCCGTCAGGCAAGGTTGGCAGAGTGAGGGGCCTGCAAGCAGTCTGGTATGGCCACAGCCTAAAGTACAGGGCTGGGAGATTAGGCTAGAGAGGCAGGCAGGGTCAGATGCTGAGGTCTCTGGGTGCTCGGTAAGTTTGCTGAGTAACATGACTAAACCTGCATTTTAGAAAGGCAGCGGTGGAGGGAATAAGTTGGAAGTTAAGGACTGCTGTAGCAACTCAGGTTACATGAACCCACCAACGTGGAAGTGATACTTGGGATAGAGAACCCTGAATTTAGAAAGATTTAGGAGGTGAGTTTCATGGGAGAGGTGGAGAGAGAGCAGCTGAAACCTGATAAATGAATAACTGGTAGTGTTCTGACCTGAGAGACAAGGAGGAGGAGCAGTTTGGGGAACGACGACAGTAAGTCTGATTTTGAACAAACCAATCTCAACATGTTTGTAAACAGGGGTCTGGGAATTCAGAGGGAAAATGAGGCTAAAGATATAGATTTGAAAGTCACCAGCACATGGTAACAGAGTGAGACAAATGTGGCTCCAAAGCCAAATATATATATATAGCAAAGATTAAAATTCAAAATTCAGACAATTTTATTGGACAGTAATACGAAGTCAGCACAATCAGTTTTTAGATTGGTGTTCCTCAACCAAGGGCAATTTCACCCACCAGGGGACATTTGGCAATGTCCAGGGACATTTTTGTTTGCCACAACTAGGCGGCAGGGAAGGGTGGGCTGCTATGGCATTTAGTGGGTAGAAGCCAGGGATGCTGCTAATCCCTACAGGGATGCTGTAATCCTACAATACAGGACAGCACCTTACAACAAATTATCCAGCCCCAAATAGTGCTGCTAGGTTAAGAAACCCTGCTCTAGACAGGAAGCGCTCAATTATAATTTTCTGGGTGAAATGTTGAATCCCAGCTCCTCTGGAGCCACTCTGCCAGGCACAGACATTAAATGTGTTGTGGTAGGCTGAGCTTGGCTTTGCCTTTTACACAAGCTTTCAAGTACTTGAAGGATAAAGAATAATAATTTTTAAGAGACCATTATTCTAGAAAGACAACGTTAATCTCAAACAAATAAACAAACATGATTTAACTTTTTGGAAAATGATTGAGCAATAATTATCAAGTAATTTAAATGTACATGCCTTCTTCTGGGAATAGATCCGAAGAAAATAATCCAAAAGGTTGTAAGAATTATATGCAAGATATTTACTACAATTTTCCAACTCACTTTCTAAAGCTAGTAGTCCTCTGTTGCCAAAACCAGACAGAGTTTTCTTGTCACAAGACAAGAAAACTACAGATCAACCTACCTTATGGACACAGCCACAGATCCTCAACCAAATCCTAGCAAACCAAATCTAGATGCATATAAAAAGGATAATACACCATGACCAAGTAGGATTTACCCCAAGTTCAACATACAAAACCCAATCAATGCCATACACAATATTAACAGAATAAATGAGGGGAAAAACCTCCAAGTAATTTTCTCAAGAGATGCAGGAAAAACACCACACAAAATCCAATACCCTGTCATGACAAAAACTAGGCACAGAAGTAACTTCCACAACTTGATAAAGGGCATCTACCCCACAGCTAACATCATAATAGTGAAAGACTGCAAGCTTTTCTCCTAAGGTTAGGAACAAGACAAGGATGTCTGTTCTTAGCATTTCCATTCAACATTGTACTGGAAGTTCTAGCCAGGGGCAATTAGGCAAGAAAAAGAAATAAAAGGCATGCAAACAGGAAAGGAAGAAGTAAAACTATTTCTCTTGGCAGATGACATGATGTTATACATACAGAAAATCCTAAAGAATCCACACACACATACACAAAAACTACTGGAGCTAATAAATGATTTTAAGCAAGGTTGCAGGATACAAGATTAATATATAAAAATCAGGGCTTCCCTGGTGGCTCAGTGGTTAAGAACCCGCCTAACAATGCAGGGGACACAGGTTCAAGCCCTGATCTGGGAAGATCCCACATGCTGCGCAGCAACTAAGCCCAGGAGCCACAACTACTGAGCCTGCGCTCTAGAGCCTGCAAGCCACAACTACTGAGCCTGA